CCCCCCGCCCAGTGAACAAGTGGCAAGGAAAAATTCCCCAGGAGTTTCACCCTGTCATTAGTGGTGTAAGCAAAGCCACTTGAGAAAAGGGTGTTTTCCTGCAGGTTATTCCTCATCTGAGCTTGATTAAACACTCAGCCAAACCTCTTCAGCTGAAGAAAAATGACTAGTCAAAACCACACTGAAGGAAAAGCAAACGTAGTTTGAATTGAAAATCCTCTAAGAGTCAAGTAAGATGCTACTGGATCAGCTGAAATCTGATAGAAATTCCTTTAGCAAACCTATTTAGATATTTTAGGATATCTCACTCAAAATATGATTTAAAGAGACTTCATTTGTCGAAAACCAGGTTGATAGTAAAGCTGACTTAGATGGCCAGCCATGAGTGTGTGAATATGTGGACTGTGTGCAGAGTGCTGGACTTCCGGAGAGTTCCACCCGTGGCGGGACGATTCATTAATGTGACGGGTGAGATTTTGTACATAACACACAATGAGGAACTGCGCAGTGTCTTCTTCAACTCTCCAGGTTTGCATTACTAGTCAAAACACATTTTTAACAAAATAAATATAATAAAGGCTTCTGTTCAAAAGTTTGGGGTAAGTACGTTTTTTTTTTAAGAAATTATTTTTTTCAGAAAGGATTCATTAAATTTTTTAACAAAATAAATATAATAAAGGCTTCTGTTCAAAAGTTTGGGGTAAGTACGTTTTTTTTTTAAGAAATTATTATTTTTTTCAGAAAGGATGCATTAAATTGATCAAAAGTGTCAGTAAAGACATTTATAATGTTACAAAAGATTTCTATTTAAAATAAATGCTGTTTTTTTAACTTTCCATTCATCAAAGAATCCTGAATCCTGAATAAAATGTATCACTGTTTCCACAAAAATATTGTGCAGCACAACTGTTTTCAACATTGATAATAATCAGAAATGTTTCTTGAGCAGCAGCATATTAGAATGATTTCTGAAGATCATGTGACACTGAAGACTGGAGTAATGATGCTGAAAATTCAGCTTTGATCACAGAAATAAATTACATTTTAACACATATTGAAATAAAAAAATGTGCATTTCAAACTTTATTAATATATTACAATATCACAAAAATGTTACTGCATTTTTTTGATCAAATTAATGCACTTTTGGTGAGCATACAAAACCAAAAATTCTGACCCCAAACTTTTGAACGGTTCTGTCTGTTTATATGTATAATTTTGGGCCAGTTTCTATCAGAGTGAGTTGCTTTAAATGTTTTTCTTATTTCTTGACCAGCCAACAACACGTGTTTCTTTGCTAAGTGTTTATACGTGTGCAAGTCGGAGTACGCCGTGTGTGGTCATCCTGATCTGCTGGAGGGCTCCATGTCTGCTTATCTACCGGGCTTGAGCATCGCCCCGCGGATCTCCATCCCAAACCCCTGGATGCGCGCCTACAGTTTCACCGGGAGAGAGGAGTACGCTCTGACTCTCATACGCACTAAATCACTCTTCAGTTTTGAGTACAAAGAATGTTTCTTTTCTTTCTGGGACTTAATAAGAGCAGGAATGTGTTTTAAGAAAGTAAAATGGGTCCGTTTAGATTCAGTTTAACTTGATTTATACAGAAAATAAAAGAGTATTCCGGTCCGATCAACATTTGTTGTTTTATGAAGTGTAGAATGTCCTTATTTGGATTTGAGAAATCCAGCTCTTGATTCAGACCATGGCTAAGAAACAAAAATGTTTGTCATGCTCACAATAGGGTCTAAAGTTCAGTAATGTTCAGATGTGTCCCAACAGCTTGAAGCAATTAACGTCTTCTCTTTCTTCTCAGGTGGGAGGTCAATGCGTTATACTGTGATAATGTCAAAAAACTTTATCCCTACAACTCTGGGAACAGACTGCTCAACATTATTGACATGGCAATATTTGACTTTCTTACAGGCATGTAAACGCTTTCCATATCGACACTTGATGGAATTAATTTTGTCAAAACTTCACGTAAAACTTACATGAAACAATTTTTCATACCTGACGATCAAAGTAGGTAATGATTGGTTTCGCACCAAAATAAGCATCACACTGACAATAAGGAAACTTTAAATCCAGAGTTACATAAGCCAGTGTACTGACCTTAAAGGAAAAAATGTCTCTTTCATGTTTCAGGAAACATGGACAGGCACCACTATGAAATTTTCACCAAGTTTGGAGATGATGGCTTCCTGCTCCACTTAGACAACGCCAGAGGGTATGTTCTCATCTGTAAACTTTTGGGGCCATTAACACTGAATGCATTTTTGCAATGCACTGCACTGCTTTTTCATTGTTTTTGGCCATTGCACTCGTGTCTTTTGCAGTGTCTTGTGCAATACATGGTGTTCAATAAACACAGCACTCAAGTCAAAAGTTCAGCTTTTAAAACGTGTCTCTAGACCTTTCGTTTCTGTTTCATTCCACTGCCTTGCATCTCACATTTTTAAATGAAAAAAAAAAACATGTTATGTGTGAATAGCCCCTTTCACTGTTTATCAGAGTGGTTATGAAAGCTCATTTTTGATATAAGAAAAAATATAATGTTTTGGTAAATCATGACATAAAATTTGAAATTATGACAAAAAGTCAATTATGAGATAAAAAGTTGAAATTGACAAAAAAAAAAATTTCAATGATGAGAAAAAAGTCGAAACAAAAAAAGTCAAAATTATGAGATAAAAAGTTGAAATTGACAAAAAAAAATTGAAATGATGAGAGAAAAGTCGAAACTAACAAAAAAAGTCAAAATTATGAGATAAAAAGTTGAAATTGACAAAAAAAAAAATTTCAATGATGAGAAAAAAGTCGAAACAAAAAAAGTCAAAATTATGAGATAAAAGGTTGAAATCATGACAAAAAGTCGAGATAAAAGTTGAAATTGACAAAAAGTCAAAATTATAAGATAAAAGTCAGTTATAAGATAAAGTCAACATTATGATAAATGTTCAAATTATGAGATAAAGTCATAATTGAGATCAAAGTCAAAATGGACAAAAAAGTTAAAATGATAAGATATAAGGTCGAAATCATGGAAAAAAGTCAGAGATAAAAAGTTGAAATTGATGAGATACAAAGTCATAATCATGACATAAGTCAAAATAATCACGCAAGTCAAAACTGAGAAGTTAAAATGTGACAAAATGTCAAAATTATGACGAGATTATGAGAAAAATATCTATATGAGATAAAAAGTCAACATTATGAAAAAAAGTCTAAATGTATTTAGTAGGTCATAATTGAGATAAAAAGTCGATTTTTTTGACAATTTTGACAAAGTCAAAATTATGAGATAAAGTGGAAATGATCACATAAAAATCGAAATATGAGATAAAAAGTCGAATTTTAGGTCATAATTATGACTGTCATAATTTTGTCTGTTATTATGATTATGACATTATTAGATAGACACTATTAGATATTAGTATCTAAAAATGTACGTTTTTGTCATAATTTGGATTTTTTTTTTAAATCTCCTAATTATGATTTACCAAAGCATGATTTATTTATTTATTTTTATTATATGGGCAAAACGGGCTTCTTCATCCTCTTGTTCACTGCAGATTTGGCCGGCATTCCGACGATGAGATGTCCATTCTTGCTCCATTGACCCAGTGTTGCATGTAAGAGTCTTTCTGAAATATTTATTAAATGATATGATTCTGAAGTTCATTTACGAACAGTTGTATGAGACATATAGTCTTACTCACAAAACGCATGGCCTCTCACAGGATCAAGCGTTCCACGCTGTTTAGACTGAAGCTTTTGGTGAAGTCCGAGTACCGCCTGAGCGACGTCATGAGGGAATCCCTCTCCAGAGACCCTCTCTCGCCAGTTCTGACTGAGGACCACCTGCAGGCCTTGGACCGCCGGCTCGGCCATGTGCTCAGGACAGTAGGAAAGTGTGTGAAGAAGCTGGGAGAACCACAAGTGGTGATCAGAGATTTTGTAGAGTCATCCAGAGTAACTACAAGCCTCCCAGGAGGAAATAACAGGTGACGGAACGAGAAGAGCGAGGGTTTGAGGAGATATCGGCAATCCACTGAAGTGACGTTATGATAACTTCCAGACTAAGCCACTGAACTAAATCACCTCTCCTGTCCAAAATCATGGCATCTAAGGACACCAGGAGGAAAAATTATTCATATTTCTGATTGGTTAAAAAGGGCTGTGTGAAGTCTTAACTGTCAAAATTATGAGATACAAAGTCATAATTATGAATTTAACAATTTCACAAATTAAAATTAAGAGATAAAGGTCACAGAGATAAAAAAGTTGAAATTATGACTCATAATTTTGAGACAATCAAAATTATGATAATTAAGTAATTATCGAGATGAAGAGCTCTGAAATTGACAAGAAATGTAAATTATGAGATAAAAGTTGAAATGATCATGAAACATTTAAAATGAGACAAAACGTCAATTCTAAAAAGTACAATTTTTGTCACGATGACTTAGTATCTCAATGTCAATATATAACTATATATAATACAACTACAAAAGTATGTATTTTTAACTCATAATGTTGACCGTTTATCTCATATTTATGACTTTATCCTAATTATGATTGGCTAAAAAGGGCTGTCTGATATTACTAAACAAATCTTAATTGTCAAAAGTGACAAAAAGTCAAAATTATGAGATACAAAGTCATAATTATAACAGCCAAAATGATCACATAAATAGAAATTATGAGATAAGCCAGAGAGATAAAAAGTTGAAATTATGACTTATAAATATGATAGTCAAAAATGTCAAAATTATGAGATAAGTCATTATTGACACAAAAATGTCCAAATGATCATAAACCAGTGAAATAAAAGTCAATTCCAAAAAAAAAGAATTTTTCAATTATGACTTTTTGTCAATTTTGACTGTCATGATGAATATCTCATAATTCCAACATTCTATCTCATAATTTCAACTTCTTATCTTATCATTTGGACCTTTTATCTCATGTTTATGACTTTGTATCATAATTATGCTAAAAAGAGGCCATGTAATATTACTTCAAAAAGCTCCCTAACAAAAGCTGCCGACGGCTCTAAAATCCCAGAGCCAGACAGATGATGCAGCATTCAGATCTACAGATCTCCTTACATCAGCAAACACACCATTCATGTGGTGCTTTAACTGCACAGCAAGAAGCATTTCCTCTGATTATCCGTTCCCTTTCTGTCCATTTTTATACAAACAACTATTAGTGGCGGCTGAGCTGGTGATGTAGCACACAAACAGGCCACATCACCAGAGAAACTCTGCGGTAGGTTGCGAGACAGATTTCTGACTTTCCAGACGGATCCTAAACGTGTAATCCTCAGCGGTCTCATCTGGTTGTACTTCACAGGCTGTCAAGTGGGATCTTTGAAAAGCGTTGTTGCAACTTGTGGTTCACCACTCTATTGCAGTATTGTATTGCAAGTTGAAGCTAGCTTAAATTCGTCATCATTAGTGTCTCAGCTAGCAGAAATAAATTTGGGTTTACCAAATCCAGTTCAAATGCTCAAAATGTTAATTTATGAATTGGTGGTGGTGGATAAACATAATCTGAAAAACTGTAAATCAAATCCCGGTCAATTATTCATGACTGTTTATCACATTCTCACATTGCCTCATTAAAATGACAAAATATTTGTATACTTTCTGATTCAGTCCAGTTCCTGACTGCCAGCTGACAGAAAGCCTTGTGTGACGTGTGTAAAAACTTGTATTATCTTTAAACACATTTGAGTATAATAAAATTGAAATTTAAGCATAAAAACATGATCTGATTTTAGCACTCAAGCAGCCATGACTTGTCTAAGAACATGACATGTAAAAAAATTACAATTCAGTTAATTCAGTCCCATCTGTTGGATGAGAACAGATTTAGCAAATGCCACACAGCATACAAACCAAGGATATCTGAAATTATAATTCAACGGAAAAACAAAATAAAAATCTTACTGACCACAAACTTTTGAATGTGTACAACAAAGCACATTGCATGCAATATATCCCACAATGCAGTGTACTCAAGTGGACCTTCCTTTTCTGTGACGGAAATAAAGCTCATTTTAAATAAAACTGCCAAAATTGAATATATTTTAACACAAAATTAAAATAAAAACATTTGATCAAATCATTTATTTTCAATGTAATAACTGGACAGCACTCATATGCCACATGATCATGACAACCATGCAACATACTGCCATTTGAGATTATTTATTTGTTGCATAATGCCTACAAGTTTGACTTACTATTAAAATTATATATATATATATATATATATATATATATATATTTTATACAGTATATTTTAAGGTCTCTTTGTTACAAGTTACATGTACTTACTATTATAATAACAATTAATTATGCATAATTACATGCAAGTAAC